GTTTTCAATTTTCTTATTACAAAAAAAGTATATATTGCATAAAAAGATTTTAAAAGTATTCTACTAAAATATTTCTTTACCTAAACATTTAGGAAACACTAGAAAATGAAACGAAAGATCTAAAGTTGCGCATCAGCACGGCAGATGAACGTTTTAGTGAATATGCCACCAATGCCGAACATGTAGCACAATCGCTCCGCCAGCAAAGTACACAATTGCAAGAGCAGCTGAATGAAGCGCAAAATTTACTTGAAACCGAAAAGGAAGAAAAACTTACAGCATTGTTGCGTAATGCCGAAATATCACAGAGCGAGGAGATATTGCGTAAAGAGTTGCGCATGGAGCGTGACGAAGCCAACGAACTGCACGAAAAGAACGAGCAACTAACCAGTGAAATGAAGGTCAAAACACAAGAGTTGAAACAGTGTAAAATCGAAATGGAAGAAATAAAGACTGTGATGTATAAGAATGAAGAGAAGCTGAAGGAGATCGATGAAATGCAACGCGAAATAAGCGAGAAAAATAAGGTAATTTTTTAAATGATACTTTCATATTCACTTTTTTTTTTACACATTTTTATGTTTTACTTGCGCTCCACAGACAATAAAAGTTCTAAATCAACGCTTGGCCGATCTGAAGAAGACACTGCAAAAGGAGTTTCACAGCGCCAAATCCTTCGAAGCTGAAAAGGAGCGTAACGGCAATTGCATTGCTGCGAAACCGCCAACCAATGCAATTGTGGTTGCCACCAGCGCGGCGGTTGCGAATGATACGTTAGCTTGTGAGCATTGCGGTGGTGTGAGCGCAACCACAAGCAGTAGTATAGTTATGGACGAGGTCAATTTTAAATATTTAAAGCATGTAATTGTGAAGTTTCTTACCAGTCGCGAGGTCAGTAAGACTTTTTTTTGTATATTTTTTAAAATAAATTAATTTATTAACAGGTAGAAGCACGGCATTTAATACGCGCTGTTGCAACTTTGTTGCAACTCACCAAAGATGAGGAGAAACTGCTGCAGGACACGCTCAATTGGAAAATGAGTTGGTTCGGCTCGAAACCAAATCATGGTAGGGGTCAACATTCCTTCTCTATACCACCGAGTTAATACTAAAAATCATTTACGCACTTGATATATATTATACTAGTTTAATTTAAAATTCAATTGTTGCTAGTTAGTATGTCCTAGCCAAACGACCAATAGACTTTTAAAACTTCAGCAGCTACGAATGCGATTTTGCTCATAGACAGCGTTTAATATAAGAAACATATTGACTTCAATTATTTTATATGCCACATCTTGGAATTTGATTCAACACTACCAGCACCTAATCTTAGCTAATGAGCAAGAGGAATTTATAAAAATACTTATTACAACCTAGATTAATTTAAAATCGCCAAATCACTCGCTATAACATTTGTTTATTTACAAAACTCGGAAAACGTTACATAACTGTATTACGAGTGTTGTCAATTCAAAATTTCAAATTATATTATATTTATTGAAGGACTTTAGGTTATTAAGCTTTATTAAGTGAAAATCATTAGCAAGTTTTAATGTTGATTGCAAAATTTATACGAAATTTCGGTTATTTAAGTTTTAAGTGAAAATCCTGAGTAAATTTTAATGTATGTAGCTTTAGTTAACGTGCATATTTATTTCCTGTTAGCTTATCATTCCATTTTGTACGTATAAGCATTTTGATAAATATTTATTTATACATATGTACATATATATTTTTTAAACTTTGTTAATTTATTTTGTTGTCAAATTTTATATATTAAAAGATGTTAAACACGAAAAACCTCATATGCATTTTAATTATACAATACATATAATCAAGGGTAAATGCTGTAACTTTGTTTACAAAAACTTGAAGGTCCAACCGAATGTAACATCCCTTATATGCTCGTGAGGGGTATACACAATGTTGAAATCGTCTGTCTACCGTAATAAATGTGGCAACACATTTGCGGCTTAGCAGCTGTCAACGACAAAAACATTGAGGTTATGTCAAAACCAGCTGAGATTACATCGTTGCTTCACTAAAATTTCATGAGGGTCATGTCTTTGGGTTCATTTGGAAAAATTGCTATTTGTTGGTACGTAAAGTATACAATTATTATTATATTAAGAACGGATATTTAAAAAATAATTATATTTCTTTTTACAAAAATACCAGGTCAGTCATTACAGTCGCTGGGGTGTCTGGGTTTATTTTGTCGAAAAATTCTGTAGATCACCGTCGTTATCAGGACATGCAAATACGTGAACGCATGCGAAAGTCGAATACTGGTGAATACGAACCTGTCGGTGAAAGAAGCTTCAGCGGTTAAATTAATCAGCAGCCATTGTTTACTATAGTTTTGTTCCCCGGCAATAATCAGCTCTTTGGAATTAACGCGCATAGTGTATAGTTAGCAACAAACCTTTTTATTAAAACAAAACAAAATTAGATACGCAAAATGGCCATGCCACAAATAAGTCAAGCCGACCAGGCTAAATTGCAGTTAATGCAAGAAATGGAGATTGAAATGATGTCCGACTTATATAATCGTATGACAAACGCCTGCCATAAGAAATGCATACCACCACGTTATGGCGAAGCTGAATTAGGTGAGTAAATATGCGTCTCATAATTATGTGACTTTCAGGTGTTTTGGTGACGGCTGTGATAAAAATGTGTGTGTGATGCATTTAAAAGCCGACACTAGCTACAAATCTCTTAAGCGTGCTACAACGCAACCCAATCAGAGTATTGACTAAATTTTTAACCGTTCCCACGACAGTCGGGTTAATTTATGTATGTAATGGCTTTATGACTGCAATGAGTACACGTGACGTGGTTAAAGTCTTTGCATGCCCAATGATGCCTACTCATCTACACCACCCAGACTATTTCAACATTCAATTTAATCTTATGATTGTTCTTTTAATAAAGTAAAACCGACTATCATTGGAACTTTGTAGTGTATGTTAGTTTTAACAGTTTATAGTACAAATTTCTCTATTTTGTAGAAAGAAAGCTATAACAAAAGTAAAATTATAAATATGTATATATATTCTTTCTTGTTCACAGGTAAGGGTGAAATGGTCTGCATTGACCGCTGTGTGGCCAAATATTTGGATATACATGAAAAAATTGGCAAAAAACTAACGGCTATGTCTATACAAGATGAGGAGCTAATGAAAAAGATGTCTGGCTAAGCTACTTAAAAAGCCAACAACAACTCAGGCCGCAAAACCAATTTAAATATAAATAAACCAATAATTTTTACTAAAGTAGTTTTAAGTTCGCTGACTTTTAAACGCCAGTTCTGCGCTGTTTCTAACTTCCTTTTGTTGACACTTTTCTCAGTATGGCTGTCGTTGGTGCGACACTTGGTAGCACACCATTGCAACATGTTGCTGTGAAAAAATAAAATCTTTGAATGTAAATGTATGTGATTGCATTTCATATGAGTAATCCCACTCTACTTATAGTTCAATAAAAAACCATTTTGTTTTAAAATAAAATTAAAACGTTTTTTTTTCTGTTCTTGTTTTGTATAAGTTTAAAGGTTTAGAAGTTATCACATATTTTCAATACCAATATTAAGTCACATAAATATATTTTTAGATATGTCTGTATATATGTATGTTTGAGAGCACAGCTAACAAAAATACGCTCAAGTCCATAATGCGCTTCGTTCATGTAAAATTCGTTATATAGCGCGAGAGTTCTGGTATAAGCATGGAAATATCCTCTAAGTCATTTTCGGGACCACTCTCATCTGTTGTATCCAAGTCACTAGTTGCTATGCTATTCTCCCAATCAGAATTTACATCACCCTCGTCTTCGTCTTCATCCTCACTTTGCTCATTATTGCGCGTTGCAGGACGCTGTTGTCCACCCACATCGAAGCGCTCTTCACATTGAATGTGCATATGCTCCTGTAAAGAATATTTAATATTATAAATAAAATTATATATTTATTTCTTGCATATTTCCTGTGTGTCACACTCACTCTAAGCAATTGGCGCGTTTCCTCCTCGTTGCATAATGGGTTCTCACACAGATTCAGCACACGCACAAATCGTGTGCTAAAGAGATCTTCCTGTGCAGGCATTGTCGTTATGCGATTGTTATTAAGAAAAACAAATTGCAATTTACGCATTTGACGCAGGCAAGCGGGTACTTGAGTGAGTAGATTACTCTTGAAATTCAGATGCACCAGCTTGGTGAGTGCACCGAGTGTGGCGGGTACTTCAGTCAATTCATTCGATTCGAATGTGAGCCAACGTAAATTCGTCAGCAAGCCCATACTGTTTGGTAAACTTGTCAATTTATTGCCACGTGCGCCCAACGTCTCGAGCCGTTGGCAGTTGCCGATCTCTTCGGGAACTTCTAATAAACCCGTATTATTGCACCAAAATGTTTCTAATTGCGTTAGATGACCGATTTCCGGTGGCAGTTTATCGATTTCATTACAACTAAGATTAAGTATACGCAGATTAGTCAGTTGACAAATGACGATTGGGAAGGCATCCAAACGATTGTAGTCCAGTGTTAACACCTGCAGGCGTGACAAATTGGCAATAATGGGTGGCAACTGTAATGGCAGAAAATTTACATAGAATCAGATTTTGATGACTTTTATCAAAAAATTTCGTAAAAAACAGGTGTTTATATAGTTAATATAAAATTTTGATCCTTCAACATTAAGCTCAGCTACTGCAGTAAACAATAAATAATGTAAAGGTACTACGTACATTTCTTATCATCTACTCATATCGCTGATAACAAATAAATAAAAAATAAACCTAATATTTGTTTATGCATTTATAAAAATAGATGGAAATAATTGTTGCAAACAATATAAGCGATAGTAGAAAATCGTAAAATCGAACTCTGGGTCAGATGAAATATTTTATTTAATTTTTATTTAATTACTGGATGCCGTAGATTTGAAAATGCTTTATAAAATTTAAATATTTGTGCTTTAATTAGGCACAGTTTGGTTTTACATTCCACATGCTGTTCTATTTATATTATTTCTCATCACATTACATTTTGTTATTAATAAAATTATAGCTTATCGAACTAGATATACCTGTGTTGCCTTTATTTTAAACTAAGTTCTTCTAAGCTGAGCTAATGTTCATTCTACGGTATTGGCAAACTAAGTATCATTTCAAATCATCGCCTTTCCGTTTCAATTCCAATCTTTCCCATAAACCATTGACCGTGACCTTCTCAACAAAATGATAGTCAATATAAGACTCACCCTCTTCAAAATATTTGTAGCCGCAAAAGTAGTATGATTTCTACTTTGCACCTATTTTGAGTTTTTAACACGGACATTTTTAGTAAAAATACAGAAAATACGTAAAAATACCAAAGAGCCTAAGCAATATTCTTCTATTTTTAGTACAAATGCAGAAAATACGTAAAAATACCAAAGAGCCTAAGCAATATTCTTAAGAACAGTGACAGTCGCTTATATGTACACATTTATACTCGTTATCATACGAAGCCATGAAAATTTTGTTTTGTTTACACTCCTGCTTTATCCAGACAAAACAAAAACTTTCCACGCACAACGTAGCAACCACTCAATGTAAAAAATATCCCACAGCGTACCTACGTAGATCAATCAAATAACTACCGTTATGTATGCACGTATGTAAATACGCTGCAATTGCATATTAAGCTATTAAACACGACATTAAAACATTTTTGTGTAATATTCGTTATACGCACCTTGGTCAAATGGTTGTGATTCAGGAAGAGTTTCAGCAGTATTGGACACTTTTCCACCAAATCAGGCACATCAGGCATCTCGAAACGTGACAAATTCAACGTAAACGATTTATTATCAATGGCATCCTCGCATATGGCCAGGACGTGATTGTGACGGAAGAACTGGTAAATTCGATTCATATTTACTATTTTACGAAATTTTTTTACTCGTCTGTTGGTACGACACGTTGTTATATAAATTTTTGCTACGTCTGTTTTGTAATTTTGGTCTTTTGTTTTTGCATAAAATTGCTGTTTTGTATGTTTCCCCTTTCCGCTTCCTCAGCGATTTATTTGCTTTCGCTTTCGCGTAGCATACGAAGAAATATTTTACGTCAATACTTTTTGATGACTTTTACAAAGTTCTATTAAAACACTCCATGACATTTACAAAAGAAAACAGTTGTGTGTAAAATTGTTTAGAAACTTTTTAAGTTTTATTGCACATTTAAAGTATTTATAGTCACCAACGAACTTTACCGGGTGAAACGGCAGCAACACAACACATGAAAGGTACTCCACTGTAATAAAAGCAACAGCGGACCTGGGCATGCAGTGCAGCGTTGAAGCAGCTGGTCGTTAAAGCACTGATTATGCGAACACACTAACAAAATATGCACTGAAATTGGCAAACAACTGCTGAAATCTCTTATATATGTATGTATTTGTACATATTTGTAAATAAGTACAAATGTATGCCGCTTCACTTGTTAACTTATATTATTTCTTACGATTCGTGTTGCTTTTACTCGTTTACATTTTTAGTGAATACTTTACACAGCAATTTAAAAAAAAAAACACTTTTATTATGTGTATTCGTGTATAAATAGTTGCATGTGGTAAATTAGCTTATTTGCGTCCAGCACACACGTTCACTTCAGCTGCTCGCACAGGTGTAATTGAAATTTCAAAACTGCTTCGCTCCAAAACTAACTACTTAAGTGTGGGTATGCTCTAAACCTGCTCTCATGGGTAGTGGGAATAGTCGGCGTGTGCGTGTTTACTTTTGCCGCAGCGTCGAACGACAGAAGGCACATCGTAACATTCAGTTTCAATAGCGAAATAGCACGCTAGAGTCTACGAGCACTCACTTTATACCATCTAGAAATAAAAGTAAGCACATAGCACGTTACTAACGCGTCACTAGGCATTGTGTTAGCTACTGCAAATGTTTTTGTTGCGTGCTGAGCGTGTTTTGCTGTCGGCGTTTTATTGACGCCAAATGCTCTTCAACTCACGACGTACATTACTTATGTATGTATGTATGTACGTACATTCTACGCGTTCCAGCGCCTTCGTTTTGGTTCATGAAATTCGTTGGCGTTATTGTTATCGTACTCTCACTCTCCTTTCACTTATTTTTTTCGTCATAAATTTGCATTTTGAGTATTTGCAAATTCGGTTTTTGCGAATTTAAGTGGCGTTTATGATTCACAAACTAAAAACCCAATAAATAACGCTAAAGAAGTGACACTCTGTGGCTACTTTTTAAAAGAATAATCAAAAACGTGATGTTTTTCCATTAAACCGGTTTGAGTCGCTCTCAATTCAAATGTTGACGCACGTGAACAACGGTCGTACTACTACAGCTCGTGGCAGTTCGATGAATTTTCAATTCAAAATTGTAATCTATAATTGACTATTTATATAAATATTGGGGGAGTTCATGGTCCGTAGACATCGATCGTGTCTATAAATATGTACATATGTATATGTGTATACAACATAAAAGGTGATTTAAACAGATGAAAAAACGTTAACTGCTGCTAATAAAGTGCACAGCTGCATTTCTTATGCATATGTAGCATAAGAGGGTATAAAAATATCCTTATCTTGATTGCGATCAGTCAGTTATATGTTATAGTGCAACGGTCTAAAAAATTTGTTCATAAATTGGACCGTTGTCTTGGAAAATAATCTGTGCAGTGTGTTTATGCAAAAGCTCGATATCGATCAATTAATTTGTATTATAACTATACGTTATAGTGCTACGTTGCCAGCAGTTCCGACAAATGAGCAGTTTCTTGAAAAGAAAATGTCGTGCTCAAATTTTCCTATCTAAATCTCAAAAAGTGAGTACGGACGGACTCACATAGCTAAATCGCTCAGCTCGTCCCACTGACCATTGCTTCTGTATCCTATTTCTTCTTTGTCTCGAATTAAGAGCCTTTGAGCTTCAATTTCAGTCGGTAGGTTAAAAAATGCGGTCGCAAGAATAACTTATCGACTATTCTGCAAAAATACTCCGTTTATTTCAACCTTTATAGCGAGATCAACAACATGGATAAAAAATGTCTGTCAAAGCACCCGTTATAAGCATGTAATTTTAAATGCATACACGCACTCACGTTACGCAGCCACAGTTGGTAGAAATCTCGTGCTCAAAACACAATTTCGATTATGTCAGTATGTACTTGTCTTATTGTCGTTGATCTGCCTCGTTCGCTTATCACCGGACAGGCCCCGATTCTGCTGATCTCATTGTGTACACAAACAGCAAAATAACAACTGTGGACGTAGTCAATACCGCAAGTCGCAAGACGTTATCACACACTTACTTATAAACGCATCAAAGTACGAGTTCGAGTATTGGTGTTTTGGATGCGGGCCGAGGGCCGCGGCACGTATGTAATACGTATGTAATATGTATGTATGACATATACATATATAATATAATGTGTTATTTTATTGGATTTTGTATTTTGAAGTGATAATATTCGAGGGAATCTCGTAGTATTTATTTAGTATTAATAATATTTATAGATTTCTGTTCTGAGTATTACTGGCATTGCATTCTAGGTGCAGTCAATTAAAGCCTGCGACTGCGGATTTGATACCTCTACGTTAAATTTAAATTTAAAATTTCGTTGTTTCACTTTCTACTTCCTTGTCCAGCTTATGCGAGACCGAGGTTGGTACAACTCGGCAGTCAAACTTTCGGCAGACCCCAAAGACACACCCGAAACTTTCCTACGAAGTCGGTTCTAAAAAGCCGGAACGGAACCGCATTCTTATCCGGCAGAAGACTGTCAAACACGACACCATTCCTCAAAACTGCTTCAGGAATATTTCATGCCGCTACAACAACAACAAAAGCAACACCCCGAAACGTTTATTAGCCGCGTCAACAAATTTGTGGTAACCTCGAAGCGATTTGTCGTTTATGAGGGTCTTTATGATCAAATTAGTAGTTAAGAGATTGGCGTTTGTAACCGGATCGACCTTTTAACCTAACCTATATTCTATATCTGATGTTATTTCAAAATCTTTTCATTCATACATACATTCAATTTGAATTAATCGAAGACGAATTTTGTTTCCGGGAAGCAAGTTTAAAATGCGTTATACGCACACCATATTCTCATAATAACAACAATTATTTATCTGCAGTTAATAATAAAGGGTATAACTTCTCTTTAGCGCTCAAAAACTTAAGGGCTTATCAGATGTCAATAATAGTACATACTTTGAAAATGTGATCTATTTTCTATGTGAATATTTATAGATGATGAACAACGTGAATATGAAATCGTTGCAGTATACAGTACAATACAAATTATGAGTACATACAATGCATTAAATAATAAATAAATAATAATAAATATGATAGCTTGATACGCATTGACACACTCATAAACCGATTGTAATGCATGGTGATTGATTAGTGGACTTTACAACAGACAATTAATGAACGATCGTAATCAATTTGCTGTATGCGAATCAAGACTGAGCTACAACCTCCGGATAGATTGTTTGGATCGGACCACTATAGCTGCCATAAAAACTGACCTAACAAAATCAAGTCCTTGTATGGAAAACTTTTTTATTTGACAAAATATCTTCACGAAATTCGGCAAAATATACAGTCCAAGGGAACGCTACATTTTCCGAATAAATTATTCATATACCTACATACATATGTACTATATGTATATAATGTTTATAATCATTCCATTGGAGAGTACATTTCTGCTAAATACTACAAAATTTTTGACAGATAGTGTATACGCCAGAATTAAACCTAATATTCCATCTAAACTGTTAAATATATTGTATAATTACACAAACGCATGCGGTCCAGATGTACTACATAGAACAAAGGTCAAGCTTTCACATGTAGATCCAGCGGAAACTAAATACATATGTATATATGGATGTGTATATATAAATATGTAAGTAGAACTAAGCGCATAGATGGCCAACACGCTGAATATTAACACGCTTCAAACACTCGTAACCCTATGAAAGAGATAATTAAGCAACATTTCGATTGCATGAGAGACCACATGCTCAAGATGCGATAAGCTTATGCATAAACGGCTAGAGCCTTACTAATGGACCGGCGTTTGAGCGTTATTACATCATCGCCGCTGTATGCTACGAAAGAAGGCTTTATAGTAAAGATGAGGCCTTCTAGCAGTAAGTAAAGATTAAACATTTCCTCTATAATTTACGATTTGTATTCACATTAAAGCTTTTATTTTTATTGTATTGCATTTTATAAATATTATTATTATTAGGTTTAGATTAACGCATATTACAAGAGAATTGAATTGGAAATTTTATTATAAAAAAAAAATACTTTTGTAAGCATTCCTTGTATTCTTTTTTAATATTTCATATATTTCAAAGTGCAAATATTCAAGTGTCCATATGTGTATGTGTGTTTAGTACTATATGTATATATGTAAATTTAAAAGAGTTTTTTAAAGTTCACCTTAAATGATGTAAAGCTGTAGTGTTCAATCAGACGCATTAGCAGATAACTGTTGATTAAGAAGAATAAAGCACCTTGCGCGCCAATCCAGTAGAATGTGTTCCAGGTCTTGAATTCCAACAAATAGGCGGGTAGCAACCACAACGCTTGCCCCAACAGCCATGTACCGAAATAGATGAAAGCACGCGACAGCGAAATCGCTTGTAAATTATTGAGGCATAACGGCAGCAGCGCCAAATACCAAACGAAGTATTGCGACGTCACCACCGAATTGAAAGTGACCATAACGAAGGCCAACGCAAACACACAGAATGTGAGCGTCTGACGAAACTGTCCAAAACTGAAGCTCAAATAGAGCAATAAGCCTAGTTGTGGTGCCAATATGAGCAGTTTCTCCAGCAGCGATGTTTCTGTCGCATTGCCACTTAGGTATTGCAATAGGAAGTAGAGCGAAAAGTTATGTCGCACATCGCGTCGCACAAAATGATACAAATACGCTTCGTGTATATACTGCCAACCGTACAGCGTGTAGAAGAACCCGGTAACTGCGAAGAGCGCGATACACGTACCCACAACTAATAGCATTTGGCGGCATGAGGGAAATAAAAGTTGTCGCAGCAGATCGCGTGTGCTGCGTGTTAGGCTCGTCGACAAGCAGAGATAGTAGGCGAGACTGAAGAGCAACGGATAGAGGCGTAAATGTATGGCGAAGCCATGTGTTAGGCCGGCGGCGAATATTAACCAGTTCGCACCGCGTTCCGTATCTTCGGATTTTACCAACAAATATACAGTTAAGATAACAAAGAAGCTGGAGAAGCTATCACCATTGCCGCGTGTCGATATGATCGCCGTTAGTGGATTGTAGAGCCAAAAGCAAGCGCTGGCACGTGCAATATTCTCCGGTCGATTACGTGCATCGGTTTCATTGTACTGTTGCGCCGTTCTGATTTTGCCAAACTTACTCAGCAATGCATGCACCGCTTTGCGGCATTGCACTTGTAATTGCAGACGCACAAGCAAGTAAATCAATATCGCCACAAATATATCGAATGCAGCATAGATGACTTTGCCGACGGCTGGATGTAGCAGCACATTGGGCAGCTGCATATATGCCAAAATGGGACTGTAGCGGTAGGTGTGTCGATTAAAAGGGCTGGCATTTTGCAGCACATGCCGCGCACCATCAGTGACCACTTTGTAGTCGATGTCTGTGTAGGGCACCTCTGAGTGCGCGTCATGCCAATGGCCGTAGGTGATAAGTAGCAAACGCAATGCTATAGATACAAGCAAGTGTGTGCGAAAGCTAAGCTCTAGTAGCAGTGTGCCGCAACGTGAGAGAAGCGTTTTAGTTGGTTGTGGGGTGTTTTTCGCTGCAGTGTTAGACATGGACATGTTATACATATTTATTGATTACAGTTAGGGTTTTGTACAAATAGCTGTAATGCTCTTATAAACTATTTGGTTAGTTCAAGCATATGCAGTTGATTTTGATTGATTGTTTAATATTTTGACTTTGTATTTGTATTATTATACTTTTGCATTACATATTTGTGGGAATCAATATGTCAAAGTGTAATAAATAGCATCAACAGTTTGTATGAAAAATTTCCATTTATAACAATCCAGCATTTACAAGTACGTTTTACAATTTAGTTTTCATTTCTTTTGCTGCTTTCTGTAAACATTCACTGAACTGCTTGAATTCCTTATCGCAAATATGATGCTGCACATTTAAATCTCGTGTCACACATGCCGCGTAAACAGCTGCCTTATCAGCGCACTTGCCCAGTAGCACGGGATAATTGCGTAGTCTCTGCTTAGCTTTGCGCACTGATTCCATTACTTTATTTATTACATTAACTGTTAACTTTACTCGTTGATATCGTTTGAGTTTTATTGCACTTTAGTTGCTTACTTAACGTCTATGACCTGGTGGTGCTCCGCCTTTTGGTGGCGGTACGGGATCGGCAATGAAGGCGTCGTACAAAGGCTTTGAAAATAGTACCAACAATGAGGTGGTGATAAAGGTTATTTGAAAAAGTCGTGGATTACGTTGAATCCAAGTGCGTTTTGGCAGCACTGCTGTACGGCGACGTTGTCCACTCCCTTGTTGGGCTTGTTGTTGCAACTGTTGTATTCTTTCTTGTATTTCAGGTGACGATTTGTAGGGCGGAATAGAAGGTTTTTGCATTATTCACTGAAATAGAAATCCTACAAATCAAAATTATAATTAGAATTTGTTTTGAATTTTGGTGCTTTGTTTTTAAAAAAAATAATTAGAAAAAAAGCGAAACACTAAGGAAGCTTATTAGAAATTTGAACGCCAGTGTACAGAAAATCAGCAAAAGCAGTTTTTAGAGCGTATTTTGGGAGGACCAGCGTTTTCTTTTCAAATTTGTTATATTTTGCATTTACAATAACAAATTTACCAATTTTATCCAAAAAATCACGGTTTTTCCTTCAAAGATTTCCCAAAAAGTGAAAAATTTAAACTCTCAGCGTTATCTGAGCAGAGAATGGATTTCAGATGAACCAACACCGAGTTGAACTTTTTTCAGAGACTCTCCTTAGCGTAAACTATTTAATATTTATCCATGTAATTTTAACAGAATATGCTTTAAACGGTAATCAACAATACCCACGCTATTTCAAATAAAGAATTTAAGAAACTAATGAAAATTGATTTCTGAAAGTCGAGCCTACGTAATATTTTTATCACCTCAATTTGCATCAACATCATTCCCTAATTAACATGCATTTACAACCTACACAAGTTCTAAAACCGTATTCAACTAATTGTTGCAGTTGCCCAAAAAATGTTGATAATAATTGAAAAGAGTACTACCCCGTTCCCATAGTCCGACTGTCATTAATAATTTGCAATTTGCTTTTAATAAACCAAATTGTTAACTTAAACACCTAACCCTTACCTTTTATTGCAGTAAATTTGTTTTTTTTTTTTTTTTTAATGTCTTTATGACTTCTGCTTTTCTTCGTCCTTGTCAACGAGATAACTTCTTTCTAAAATTATTCCTGAACAACAATTTGATTCCTTATGCCACTTTAAGCAACATAGACGCATTTGTTCCAGGACCTCCAAGCATTTGCTCTCTTGATAATGATTTTCTTTGGAAGCAAACGAAAATTATATAATTTTTTTTAGTACTCCAATGCACACATTTCCAAAAAATACTCACCGCTCAAGCAGGCCTGTATTTTACATGCGTTTGCCTTACAAGGATCTTTACGCTTACCAGACATCAAAGAGGAAAATAATTCAAATATTCAATGTTCATTTATAATTTTTATTTACAATTTTTATTCTGCTGTCGGCTTTTTTGCGGTGCGCCCTGATAGAGCTGCCAGACATTTATTATTTTAATCTCGTAATTGTTTAACTAAATTGTGACATTTGAGAGATATTTATTGGATATTTCTTCCTTAACATACATATACCATATTTTTCAAATCATACTTTTTACATACCTGATATATTTAAAGAAACAATTACATTAATGAGAAAATTGAAAAATATTTAAACATGTAGACTGAAAACCTTACACATTCAAAATTGAAAATGCTGCGAAGTCTCTTATGACTTCTACGTAAGTAAGTAAGCCATCATCCACTCTGCTGGTTAATGTTTCTTTATAGTTTTAATCCAAATGATAGTAAAGATTTCTTCAATCTAATAAGAATTTATAAGCTATTACTATCATTACACAATATCAATATAATCGTTAGTTAGTTAACGTTTTTACGTAATAAACGATGTATAATGTTCGTGTACTAAAACGTTCGTCAATACAACTCTGTTAAAAAATTTGACAGCTGCTTCGGTCGTCATATCAAATAGAGGAAAATCTAAGCCATGTCAATTTTTCTTGTCTAGAATTTTTAACTACTGAGAAAAACAATATTCTATGTTACAGTTTTTCATATTTTGTACATTTCAATTTCGATTAAGTGTCGTGGGGGAAATAGTTTGTTTATTTGTTGGATGGAAGTGAACTATTTTCTCAGTAGATCAGTATAAACATCAACCCCCTCCATTTAGAATTAGAACAACAAAACCAAAAAAAAAAAAAGAAAATACACAACCAAAAAACTGCTGTCGACGCCAACGTTGTCATCGGTAACGACAGTATTGAGGAAGTAGTTAACGCAAAAGTTGTGATATTGGCGAAAACTGGCTGCAACGGCAGTAAAGATAAAGCAAAGCAAATCAGACACCAATTGGACAACATTGCATACATAAAATAAAAGTAAACTCATAAGTGTTTGTTTTTACAAATAAAATTTACAAAACCATTGGATTCATTGCTGCAGCATGCCGTCAAAGAAGAAGAAATACAATGCGCGTTTTCCGGCGGTGAGTGCTATACTTCATCAAAGTGAATGGAAGTGCGAGTGTGTTGTAAAAGAAAACGCGGTAGCTATGAAACAGTAAATGCTATTGTTTCTGCTAAAGTTTCTGTTTAAAGCGTCGTTGTCGGTTCTCATACGCCCCTTGCGTCTATTCGTACGAAAGTTGCGCGTACAAAAGTTACACCCAACACACTCACACGTACGCTTTCATTTCGCACAGCGGAAATATCTGATAAGATTTGTTTTTGTTTTGCAGGGTCGCATCAAGAAAATAATGCAGAGTGATGAAGACATCGGAAAGGTCGCGCAAGCTGTTCCCGTCATAATCTATATCCTTTTGAAAATGCAAATCATTTTTCCATAAAAAGAAAATATGTAAATGTCTATAATACTCTTCGTGAAAAATTTTGAATTTCAATATTTAAGAAATTACATATGTACATTTCTTATGCTTGTATTTGATTTTCAATCAAAAGTTCTACATCCTTTTATGCTAAAAAAAATATAATTTCATAGATAGAGCAATATAACTCCAAACGTCAGCAACCAAGTGCGAATTATAAATATTAATTATTCAAATTTACATAATTTGATAACACTACTTTCATAATATTACTTAGAATTGCTTATGACACAAACTTCGCTTTCATTTGTAATAACTACATATATACACAAAAAATATTTTACTTCGCAGAACGTGACTGGGAATTATATTGTTTTTTTTTTTTCTAATTTTGCCTATGTACTATGTACATCATTATACAATGTGAATTTACTCATATAAACATGTAGCTAAGTGCTAATACGTATGTATATGCGTGGATATTATGTATATACGCTCTTATTTACTATTTTGTTATATCGGGCAGGCATATTTTCATACCCTGAACACGGTATATTCAGTTTGCCACAAAGCTTGTAAAACCCAGATGCAAACTGTCAAATACCCTATAAAATATACATGTATATAAATGATCAGATTCGCCTTTTGTCTGTATATACGCTAACTAGTCCCTCATTTTTGAGAGAACGGCCTGAAACACGTCATATGTATTCTTAAGAAGCATGCTAATTTAACGGAACCGCTGATATCGGACCACTATTAGCATCAGACTCAAATCGCCGTATGACAAACTTTTATTTCTAATAAGATATCAACAAGAAATTTGGCATCGGTCATTATCCAAGGCATTATTACCCAAATACATAGTAATGTTGATCCAAGAAATTTATATTTCACGCTATATTCACGTAATGTAACACAATCCAAACCATCCTTATAATTTCATTAATCACAGCTAAGCGAGGCCGAATTTCCTTAACTGGTATATTGTATATTTTAATTTCCTTATATATACCTAGGACATTGGAACTCTTTGTGGAATCGCTTTTGACGAAAACATTAAGAATAACAAATTCGCGAAATGCAAAAACACTTTCAACATCCCACATGAAGCAATGCATCATGTCCGAGCAGCGTTTCGACTTCTTGCGTGAATTGGTAAAGAATGTGCCTGATATCAGTGTAGCAGAAGAGGCCGCCAACTATAACGAAGAGGACGGACAGAGTTCACCCGATGATGTTTACCCAGATTCCGATACACCATACGATCTGAGCATGCCATCCACATCAGGCGGACGCAATCAATACCGTATGACTCCTGTACAGCCGAAAGTCAATGGCGGACAAACACATTTCCAGTACAAACAACAGCAGCAGCAGCAACAATACCAATTAACGCCGCATAACGGTAGCACTATTGACACTGCGGCCATTGAAGCAGATTTAAGACAACGCTTACGTCAACGTCTCAATAACACACGGAGTGTAATTGTGCATACGGCATCAGTTGCACAAGTTGCTGCAGCAGCAGCAGCAAGGCCACCACCAGCCTTACCTGCGACAGCAACACCAACCACAACGCCAACGCCAACGCCAGCAAGAGGTGCTTATGGCAATTATGTTCAGCCCATAAAGTTAATGCGTTCCGAATCGTCACCTGCCAATGCTGCCCAGCATTTGTGGCAAGTAACATCCAATTCGGCTACACAAAAGCAAACGGGTCAAAAGCGTCTGCGACATCAGGCATTATCAGTGCCGTGCAACAATAATAATGACAACTGTACCGGTGCATCGCCAGCCAAGCGGCAAAAGCCTGATTCAATAACACAACAAACACATTCACAAACTGCCATACCCGCGCCCGTTTTCAGCTACGATCTTTGCAATAAGCCCGTTGTAAAGATCGATTACAGCAATTTACCGCTAACGCCTGCCACTTTGGGTGCCAGCGAACAGCTACACACAACACCCAGTATGAGCAATTTGCCGTTGAGCGCACCAGTGACCAATGCGAACTTCAATTTTAGCGCCGCTGCACCCATTATCAACATTGATTTGTCCAACATTGTGACGAATAGCGGCGGTGGCGGCGACAGTAAATTGCTTAACGCCGGCAATAAAGCACCGGTACCAGCTGTTGCCACCATAAGCATTGGCGCTCTACCGGTTGAAATGGCCAGTGCTGTGGCCGCCTCACCACCAGCCAGTGGTGTGTGCAGCAACATTGGTGCGGTGGTGAAATCGCCACCTACGTCCAGTACTCCGCCCACAAATCAATTATCTGACTGCAAAATAGAGGCCAACGCCGCAGCCGGTGAATCAACATCATCACCCTCGTCGTCCTGTTGCTCACCGTCGTCATCGTCACTGGCATCGACGTCTGCCAACAGCCTACAGGGTGGTGGTAGCAAAAGCATGTTGAAAGCTTCAAGCGAGATAATGGCAAAGATGACTGCAGCCGGTACAAAAACACTTGCTGCAACGTGCAAAAGTTCGAATACACTGCTCGAACTAGACGAAGACTATGACAATATTTGAATTTAATGTTTTAAGTTTTAAATCTTAACATAAACGTTAAGGAGTTATTTCCTCTTTTTTTTTTTAATAAATCAGACTACCAAAAAGTGAAGTTGTTATTGTTTATTAGACTAGTATCAACAAACGCAAATATAATCCATGAAATGTGTTCGAAAATAAACAGCTATCTCTCAACTTTCTCAAACTTTCTTACTTCTTCTCTGCTAGGAACTTGACACTCTCCTCTACTAAATTCACAGCGACCATATTCACAAACTGATCCAAGGAGTACAGACTGAATCTTAATATCACAGTCGATGGCGTTAAAATTGTAACTGTCAACAAGTCAGCTGTCCAAGCGTTTAGGTGTTACTTTCGACAGCCTGTGCTTCTTCACTCTTCATACGACCGCGATTATTTTCAAAGCACGGAGCCGCAGCAATATTCTCAAAACGTTAGCTGGCAGCTCCTGGAGATGGGACAAATAAGCTTTCATGGCAACATACAAGGCAATCAGCCGGTCGGTCATATATCATACTGCGCCGATATGTTCGCCTGGATGTAGTTAAACGCCAACATAGAAGTTTAATACATGACAAAATGTATATAAAGAAAATTTAGACGATTACAGGATGCCACTTAATGTCTCCGTTTGATCCGCCTTCTGGGAACATAATGAGATCTTTCCTTGACTATGTCTCTAACTACCATTCCTAGCGAATCCTAACCGACTAACCCCATTGAAAAAGCACGTTTCCTGGCTCTATCGTTAGATGATTTCGGCGACAAACTCCACAAACCTTGCCAGACAAGCGGGGATTAGATGACTGCTACAATAGCAACAGGGAAAACTGGGGCTCAGGAATGACTGTAGTGCATTGTTGAGGGCAAAGGAATTGCCTCCAGTCCCCTCTCCTTCCCTGCATATTCGTGATATAAAACTTCCTCTTAATTTTCTAAAGTTAAGCCGCCAAAGTCAATAATTTGAAAATCTTTGTTTACGCTGTTGTTGTTGTTGTTGTACCCCCTGAAATAATTTGGAGTGAAGCAGCTCAGTTTGTTTTAATTGTTATCTAGTCCCCGTTAGGGGGGGTAAGGTTCAGAGAAGTCGTTATCGAGGCCATCCAACAGTAGACGCAGGAAACGTTTCGTGTCGTCGGGGTCGGACCTTAGGGAGAGGGCATCTAACACCTCTCTGCCTATGATTCGACCCCGGGTTAGCTGGCCATGCAAAGCCTAGAATACAGTTTGATAAATCGGAGTCGATTCACTCTCGATTCTTGGGCCAACTCTAGCTCTTCGTCTACAATGGGTGGTGGTTTGACTCCAAGTACGTCATTCACTGAGAGGAAGTCGGTGTAGGGTTTTATGGTTCCACTGTGAATGGCAGTCAGTGCTTATCTGAAGTTAGTTGCGTCCGGAGTCTGTTCGGCGTGTTGTCTTATGTCGTCGCGGTAGTTGAGGAAAAACCTTTTGATGTTCCCAAGAGGCCGTTACGCGCCAAGCAGATGACTGCAAGTATGATTTCTACGAAAACACACCAGCAGATTCTGCTTGGAGAACAGTTCATTATGCTCCTTAACTGGGAGCATGCGGGCCTCACTGTGCAGATGTTCGATAAGAGACATTAAGAGGCATTTCGTAGTAGTCCGGCAGCTTAGTCGACAGTACTTCAGTTCAGTCGAATTTGATAAGACCCGACGGTCGTGAGAACTGGCTTAATTGCACTTAAAACCGTTATGTGCCCTTTATTTCAAAACACCGCTGTTGCAATATATGTATATATAAAAAGATTTTATTTAACTTTTCAAAAATATAATTTGATTTTTTTCCTTTCGTTATCTTGTTATTTTCTCTCTTTTTATACTAAAAATAAATATTGTTGCAAATTTCAAAAAATAAGTGTGTCTGCACATGTGGTCGATATCATTGTTGTAATGTGATTGTATTGGGTGTAGTTTTTTTTTATTGAAGACGTAGTAGTTGAGTTTACAAAATGGACAAGAGAGTGTGATTGTTATGCGTCTATGGTCTACACCAAATTTTCGGACTGTACTCGAATTGCATCGAATTGCTGGGTAGTAAATAATAATGTTTTTTTCTTTTTTTTTCTAATATTCAACAATTTCTTTCACAGTGTTTCATGATAGTGTATATATTATTGTTTAAAAACAAACATATGTAAGTATGTATGTATGACAAAATAGTGTACATTCTTTAAAAATCTTCTTCTTTACTACACGTTACACTTGTTCGCGTTCGTATTATTATCTCGTTTTTCTTTTAATTTCTTAAGATCAGCTTGTTTAGTTTAAAAAATGGAATAACAAAGTAGTGTTTTTTTCTTAATATTTCTCCTTTTTTTTGCATTTGCATTTTTGTTGTTTCTCACGGTTCGGTGTCGTTTTTGTACTTTTGCCGCAGTATTCTTAATGAGTATGAGTTTTTTTTTTAATTTTTCATGTTTGTACGCATACATAAATTGCGGGGTGTGTGTGTGTGTATGAGTGTGTGCAGTAATGTTTTTGTGCATTTCATTCACAGTTATGAGCATGAAATCAAGTTATGCACATTGCTGCCGCAACAAACAAACGTCCAGTCACACACCAACTCATGAAATTTCTAACAAATCATTCTTATCATTAAAAACAGCCCATCCACACATCCATACAATCGGTCGTCAGTCGTCTGTCGCGCACGCGTACGCGTTGTAGCGCGCCAATATTCATTCGTTTTCAGGCACTTTCCATTGCAACTGCTTGCCACGATCGTAAAGCGTTTTCAGTGCGTTGGTGAACTTCTGCTCCACCATCAATTTCAGGTAATGTTTGTACAGTTGCAATGTGGTGCGCGCATCCTCGACGGAGTCGTGTGTTTCGGATTGGATTTTGGTACCTTTAAATAAGGAAACATAAAGTGATGACTAAACAGATAATTGCATTAATATTTAAATGAATTTTTTATTTTGTTAGCACGTAAATATTAATTAAAAATAATTTACAAAAATTAAAATGTTTATCCCAAATATCGAAATGAAAAATAAAAAAAAATTTAAATCCAAATATTTATTATGAAAAATTAATAATGAGAATTTTAATCACAAAAAATCGAATAGAAAAATTAAAATAATTTTTTTCTTTAAAAAATGAGAAGTTTAATATTAAACCCCGGATTGAAATATAAAACCCAAATTTTATACAAACATCGCAATAAAAATTAAAATTTTAATCCTAAAAACCTTATTTAAAAATTAGGAATGAGAATATTAATCCCAAAATCCGTATTGAAAAATTAAAAATGGAAATTTTAATCAAAAATAGCAACGAATTGAAAAATTAAAATTTTAATGTCAAAATCCGGATTGAAAACTAAATCTTAAAACCCAGCAACGGATTAAAATATAAAATTTTAATACTAAAAACAGCGTTGAAAAATGAAAAATTACAACTTTATTCCCAAAAATTTAATTGAAAAATTAAAAAAAACAAAACTTATTGAA